TATCTAGACCATCTATTTTTATGCGATTCTCTCTTTTTCTTTCTTGCTCCCTCTCTCTCTAACAACTCTACGATTGAATACAACCCTTCTTAGTTTGAATAGTTCACAGTCCACACAAGTTATTCACGTAACACAAACACAAACACAAACACATATGCACCAAGATATTCACAATTTAAATCACAATTTTCCTTCTCAACATCGAGTTATCCTCTTACTACACGACCTTCTATAATGATTGCCACCCGATAAATAAAAGTACTACAAAAATGAGGTTTGAAAGAGAAATTATATCTAGACACAAATTGAGAAGCAATTACGTAAGGAGATCAATGTAAAAATGATAATAATTTTTCAACTTATAATAGAATAAGGTTCTCTCACAAAACCCTTCTTTATAATTTCTTTTCATGAATTTATCATAATGTTTTCTTGTTCTTAGTCTTCTTTTCTTTTACTTGTAAAAGTACATGGTAGAACTAACATAAGCAAATTAGTTAAATATAAGAGGAAATCCATAATTGGATTGTCATTAGTGGGAGCTATACGCTTTAATTGCTACTTTAAGTTATCTTCTCTAAGAAACACATCTATATCTCTTTCTTATTTGTAAGTCCATAATTGTAAGTGCTAGTTTGCTGGGCGTGGGGGGATTTATGGGGTTAGGGTCGGGGATAAATGGATGAATTATGAAGTGACATGTTACTAAGATGATGCCGATCTCAACATATTTAAAATAAAATCACATTTTTTTGACACATCATATACCATATTATTGGTGTACAAAATATGAGCAGATCTTAATAAAGAGATCAAATTTGGACTCATCTTGTAATGGATAGAGAGAATCTTGAAAAAAAAAATAGTTTAATAAAAGTTTTGGATATTGTTTAATAATGCAAGAAATATTTTGACATGTTAGTTGCTACTTTGAGTTGTTTTCTATGTGAAACACATTTCTATCTTTTTATTTATTTGTCCACGACTATACGTGTTGATTTAATGGGTGTAGGGTGATTGGTGGGATAAAGGTGAGAGATAAATGGATAGATTATGACGTGACATCCAATCTATTACAAAATTTTGCTAACGTAGGTGATGACATGTTGCTAAGGTG